AAAAATGATCATATGTACCCTGTTGTTGGAATGTTTATTATGGAACAAGTAAACATTAACATAAATAAATATTTGAATTGGGATGTAGAATTATGTACTGTGTAGACTGTGGAATCACTGTTAAGCTGAAGACTGTTTTATTATGGGCAAAATAAACTTAAAAAGTTTATGTGAAAAAAAAAATAAAAAAAATACTAAATTAAAGCACAGCTAAGATTAGTATAGGAGTCTCTACGTGATACACACAATGGGTCACAGGTGACTGGACAACACATAACAACAACAAGAACAACAACAAGTGATACAATGAGTTAACATGCTAGGCTGTTGCTAACTAGCTCTGGTGTCCTAGTGGGTAAGAAGCTGTGCTGCCAACCAAAAAGGCATGTGGTCCACATCTACCAGTTAGCTGTTCTGCAGGATGTAGGATGCATAATCTCCTCCCATAAGAGAGTCAGCTATGCGTCTGTAGTGATTTGATAACATAAAACAGCAATAAGTTATAAGTTGCTAATGGAAAGACTGGACCTTTGAATCTGTCCAGAGGCAACCTGGGAAAAAGGCCTGGCAATAATCTTAATAAAAACTCACCAAAAGCAACAGCCATTGAAAATCTTATGTAGTTCAATTCTACTCTTGACATATTAGTGGTCAATATAAATTGAAGTTGATTTCAAGGCATCTGGTAAAAGCTTATTGTGATACTTTTTCCTCAACATACTACCAACCAAGCTTGATTCCTTTACTGTAGGTTATGTCAGACCTTAAGTGTATGTGATGAGTGTATACTTAGACCCCAGAATGAATTACATATTAAGTCATCAATTTATAATCATTAATCTTAAAGACTAGATATACTTAAACCAGAAAAAGAAATTTTAATATGGAAAAAAATAATGTTACCGAGTTTTTGTCGCGTCTCCTGAATAATCTGGTTTGTGCCTTTAACAACCATATTCGTAAGAGTGGTTTGAATTTTCTTCTTAGGTGCGACAGCTGCTGCACTGAAATGATAAGAGATACAACCCCCAAGAGGAAAATCACTGAACATCAAAGGTAAAGAAGGCACAGAAATACTCAGTTCAGCTATTACAAATCACCAAAATGTCTTTCTATATACTACAGCATGAAAATTCGACAAGCAAAGGTTGTGCCACCCATACATTTGCTTGAGGTCATCATCCTGAAAGGGTAGCTTGGCAAGAGAAATCAAATCAACACTCTGATCTAGCAATTTAGGAATTTACCTTAAAATAATTGGGGACCATGTAAAAGTTCAGTGCATTAACTGAAGCTTTTAGAATAGTAAAATGTTAGAAACACTATTCATGCCCATCCACACAGATTTGCTTAAATAACTATACACCTGTGTAGATGAACACTATTTAGTCACGGGTAAATATCTGAAAAGGAAAGTGTTAATTTTATGAAGATGACAGGTAAATTCATAGGCACAAAATGGTCACTTTGTTTTTTATTACTAGAAACTTATAGAAACACAAACAAACAAAAACCATCTAGAAGAACATATACACACAAGAACAGCCATGCAGGCAGTGGGATTCGGGATGGCTTTGGGTAGATGGCATAATCTCTTTGTCATGGATGGAAACTGCTTTCCACAGTTTGGAAAAACAGAGACACTATTTTAAATCTTAAAAATGTGCATAATGTCCTAAACAAGGCAGGAAGTGTGAGTCTCTTGCCCAATTCCTGTTGGACTAGGAACAAAGTCCTTGTTTTATTCTTAGATCAAGCATAGCCCCTCGTGCCAATTCTGTGTCGCACATTCTCAGATGAGCTTTCTACACCACGGTGACACGGCCACCAAATACCTACTCCGGGGATTCTACTGAGAGCCTGAGACTCATACCGCTGTGACACTTCACTACAAATCCATCCATTTAATTAAATTTGGGTTCTGAAGTCTGCAACTTCACCCAAATGAATCCTGAAGGAAATGGTTTAGAGGATGTTAACACTGACATTAACTTGCATGTTTAAAAAACTCTTCAATGAAATGTAGTATTTGTTCCCACTATATTAATGTCACATTAATTTACTTTTAAAGACCATATAATAAGCCCAGACAAAGCAGTACTATTTATTTTAGAAGTCAAATATGAAGTGTCTGGGCTCTGTGTCACAGATCATGACTCAGAATGTCACTCTCCCTTCTGTGTTCCCTCCACCTGGGAATGAAGGAGGGCCTTACACACCTTGTCACATGCTGTGAACTATGAGAACAGAACCTGAACAAGTGTTTCCTGACATGTGTAGAGAAGCACAAGCATTGGATTAACCCTTAGAAGGCAGGTAAAATACCTGTCCCTAAGGAGTCCTAGGAATGTCTTACATTGAGGCTGCATAGGATGCAGAAGAAACTCCTCCGTAGTAAAAGCCATCCTGACACAGCCGTTCCTTTAGGGTGGTGCCTTTGCGGGCAAACTTTTTTGGGATTCGTCCTCCGGAGAAGGTGGACTGTAGATCTGCTCGCTTTGCACTGAGCTTCCTGTACTGCGCCTGGACGTGATACTGACAGTACTCACAGTCATTCTGCAAAAAAGGAAGAGCAGTTGTATCAAGGCTAAACAGGCCATTGCTTTTCTAGTGGCCTAGAGTAACACTAGTCTCACGCAGAGCCCTCCCTGCTTATACTCCATACCCCTCCCCAAATGCAAGTGACACACAGTTATTAAGAGGAAAGCTCTCCCTTTAAATTTCCTTTACACACTGGTCTGGTGAAAGGAAAAATGACAAAGTCCATCCCCTTACTAAAGTGGGAGTAAAAATCAGCCTCTAGTGAGATTGTTCAGGTTGTTTCTGAGACTGTCTCTTGGGAAAATGTTATTCTTTCAGTGAAATGAAGAGAAACAACACATTATTGTTTTAGTTGGTGAGCTTTGAGATATGGTGACAATGATTTTTAATGATCTCAGTGTAACAGTGGGTTTAAGCACAGCAAAAATTAAGAGGATGGTACAGGGTTAGGTAGGATTTTCCACTACTGTATTCAGGGTTACTATGATGTGGAGACAATTCTACAACCCTCAACAACAAAACTAGGTGTTTCAGTAGTAGAATTACTCTCTCCCATAGTGGTTTATTTCCTAGCTATCACACCTCATGCACAACAACAATACCTAACAACAAGAACAGGTGATTCAGGAGTGGAATTACCCTCTCCCACGCAGGAGATCCTGGTATAATTCCTTGCAATGCAGCTCATGCACAGCCATCACCCAGGCCTGTCAGTAGAGGCATGCATGCTGCTCTAATGCTGAACAGGTTTTAGTGGAGCTTCCGGACTAAGGCAGACTAGGAAGAAAGGCCTGACGATCTGTTTCTAAAACTCAGCTGGTAAAAACCTAGTGCATCACCACAGTTCAAATGCTTGCTGATCGTGAGGTGGGATGAGAAGTGGGCAGCAGCTCGTTGTGCTGTGCATGGGGTCATCATGAATCAGAGGTCATTAATGCAGCAGTTATTAACAACACCAATTCCTACCCTGACAACTCCAGGCTTTCACTTCAAGATCTGTCAGGCACTGAACTCTCAGAACTTTCCCCCCATTTACCCTCCTTAAGACAGGAAATAAAATCCCATCATTTCACTCTTTTCAACAAGTTTTTGGCATCACATTAAATTTTCTTATGCTATTTTAAATATTTTTTTTAAAAACTCCAAAAACTAAAAAACCAAAAAGCACAAAGAGCTTTAATACATCCGCTTTACACTAACTAGAATGGGAGGAATAAAAAAAGAAAGCAGAACAAGGTATTGGTGAGATCTGTCCCTCACAAATGGTGACAGGATTATAAAATGGTCCATTTGCTTCTGAAAATAGTTTAGCAGTTCTTTACTATGTTAAATATAGTTACTATATGATCTAATTCCAATCAGATTTATAATCCAAATGAAGTGAAAACATATATCCACACAAAATTTGTACTCAAATGCTTATAACAGCATTATTTATAATAGCCAAAATGTAGACACTCCAATTTCATCAAATGTTAAATACATAAGCAAAATATGAAAGATTTATACAATATACTACTATTGGGCCATAAAAAGGATAAAGTACCAACATATATCATAGATGAATCTTGAGAACATTGTAAAGTGAAAGAAGTCAGTATGTACAGAGTACATACTGTATGATTCCATTCATATGAATGTCCAGAGTAAGCAAATCCAGAGACAGAAAATGCAATTAATGTTTCTGAAGGGGCAGAGGAAGGAAAGAAGTGAAAATGAGTATTAATTTGTATAGGTTTATAATTGGAGTAATAAAAAAGGTTCTGAAATTAGATTGTGATGAATGTTGCACAACTCTGCAGATGTACCAAAAATTATTAAATTGCATACTTTAAAATGGTGAACGAATGAATGGATGGAAATCCAAGTTCTGTATAAACTTGCATTAAAATATCAATTTTTTAAAAGGTGACATATATGGTGTATAAATTTTAACTCAATAAGGATTTTTATAGTTCTTTGAAAAGGTGCAATATAGGCTAAAATAAGATTTTTCATGTGTTTTATCAAAAGTGCTTAATCTTTGGCATCATAAAAACCTAGAAATTCTTTCTTATACTTTCACATCATTTGGCAAAAAGGATCAATTTCCTTAGAGGTTCCGTTCTCCCTAGTCTTTCCCCAGTATTGTCTTTAAAACACCCATGGCAATTAATAACTGTTTATGACCATATTATTTCTGGATATTCACATTCACTGCTGTCATTTTGACTATTAAGTGAAGATTCAGTCCCAAATTGGTTATTAGAGTTAGAATACTTATAATCTATTCCTGGCAATGAATGAATGGAAATTCAAAACCTCTGTAAATGTCTATTAAAATTAAAAAAAAAAAGAATACTTATAATCTATTCCTAAGAGTTCCCTCCTTTACGCTTCTCTTCCAAATTTCTTACCAAGGAGGAAGGTATGTCCCTTTGGATTATAACTTCCTAATAAATCTATCTTTACTTTTATCTTTTAAAAAAAACCCCTAAACAAAACAGTTCCCTTCTTTAGCAGAAATCATGTTAACAAGGCAGAAACCAACCAAATTAACCATCTGTGTACATGGCTGTCCATTCTTCTTCCTTGCTTTACAGGTTCCCAGGTCAAGAGCTTCACCCATGATTAAGACCTTCTGAGGATGATCAATAGATAAGCACACCTGTGGAAGAGAAGTGGGTAGGAAAAAAGCAGCAATAGTTAGGGCTTTTTAGAAAGAGCAGATGTAAGAATGGATAGTAAAGATTTAATGCTTGATTAGTCTCGAGGAATTTAAAAATCAGACGTTCATAAAATAATTTGGGAATAGCAATATGGATGCTATATCCTTTACAGAACCCTAGTGGTGGCATAAGGAGCTTTGTTGGCTTAGTGGTTAAGGAACTGCATTGCCAACCCAAAGTTATGTGTTTTGAATCTACCAGCTTCTCTGTCGAAGAGAGATGGGCAGTTTCCTGTGTGACTTACTGCCTCGGAAAACTCACTGGAAGATCAGCTGGGTCAGTTCCGACTCAATGGTCCACAACAACAACAAACAGTGGTGACACAAGGAGCTCTGGTGGCCAAGTGGTAAGGAGACATGCTGCAACTCAAAGGCACATAGTTCAAATCCACCAGCTGCTCTGTGGAAGAAGATGGGCAATATCTTTCTATGTGATTTACAGCCCATGAAAAACTGTTGGAGAGTCAACTATGAGCTGGTTCTGACTTGATGGCACATAAAACAAGTGGTGACATAGGGAGTTGTGGTGGCCTTGTGGATAAGTAAAGAGCTGTCCTGCCAACCCACAGTTTGAATCCACTCAGAAGAAAGTCAGGCAATCTTCTCTTGATTTACACCCTCTGAAAACCAGCCGGGAATCCAACTATGGGTCAGCTCCAACTCCACGGCAGTGAGTTGAGTGGCAGAGGGTGTAACATGCCAGATTGCTAACTGTGAGGTTGGTAGTTCAAATCTATCGGCTGATTTTCTTCAGTATTTCTTAGAGCTAGCAATGGTCACTTGACCTAAGCCAGTTAAACAAGTATCTAGAAAAACGTTTGCTTTCTTAATAAAAGGGGATTGATTGAGAAGACCAGCTCAACGTTTCTCTTCACTTCTTGCTTTGAAAAGACCTATGATGGCTGAAGCTTCAGAGCCATCTGTGATCAAGAAGGAAAGATCAAGAGAACAGACATTGGCCCTAACACCACCATACCACTCACATGCAGATTCCTTATTGTTTAAGAAAAAGAAATCCCTCACTTTAAGATACTACAGTATGGGTTTTCAGTTACTTGCTGCCAAACACACGCCTTCCCAAAAGACAAGCGTTTCACCAATAAATGGAGATTTTTCATCCCTCTCTGGAGAAGGCAAGGAATGAAATGAAAAAGCTTGTCTCACTCTTTCTGTAATAACAAGCTGTCTGGAAGAGAGTGATGGCTGGCTGTTGCTATTAATGTTGTGTCTAGACAGAGAATTTATTGGACAATCAGTAGCTAGTACCTAAATTCTTAATACTGCTTGAGAAGAAACTAATTGGAAAAGTTGTAGTGAAAGTCATTGTTATAAAATACTTACAATGTACTCATAGAGTATATGGACTTTTAGAATACTGAAGAGTGTGGAATAGAACAAATAAACACCGAAAAACCAAATTAACGGAAACATAATGATATAAAAGACTAAATTACCTGGAGACAGACCAATACAAATGTTTTTTAACACTTGGCTAGGGGGAAAAAAAATCTTTGGAAAAGACCTTACCTCTTCTGAACCATCCCTGGGTTTCATGGGGTTAGCATTGAGCAATCCTATGACGGTCCCTTGCTCGGTCTTCCAAAGTTCTTTGTGAACTTCTCTAAATAAGAATAATGACACATACTGTGTCAGGTCACGAAGATCATTCAGTCGCCAGATGCTAAATGTCTTCCCCTTAAAAACAAACATTTATCCTAATTTTAACAATTTTTCTCAACAACAAGTTACACTGTTTTCACTATGATTCAAAGATTCTAGTATGGGAAAAAGGATAAGCGTATTCCAACTAAATAAGTCATCATCAGAAAGTCTCTAAGTGTAAGTTAAGGCCAGCCAGTAGCAAGCGTGTTCCCAGCCTAATTCCCAGGCCAGGGAGGTCATCAGCCAGGACAGTGCTTTTGTGATGGCATCCACACACCCATATGTGTATGCACATGGTGCAAATCGAGAAAGGGAAATGAGGCCACTACCACTTACCCATTTATTGTCAAGAATAGGTCTCAAGTAGATAAGAAATTTGTTATCATTGACTAATTTAATTAAATTGATAATAATGAAAATAAAGGGATTTACGCTTTACTATATTAAATCGATGCTTAGCTTATATAATTAATTATTAAAGTATCATTTAAATAAAACAGGTCTTGAGGTTAACACAATCATAAAGGTTTATTAAGTATCTGAAGAAATGCAGTCAAAATGCTGACCACTTCTCAAGTAATACACAGAGCCTGTCATTCATTCTTGCCCTGGTTCTGTACCTGTCATTTGTATTTTAAGGATTCAGCTTACGAGTTTCTATTGATATTCACAGAAAGCAGACTTTTAATATTATTATGGTTTAATATTTGTATTTTAGCTTTACCACTGAAGTCCTAAAATGAGGCCAAGAACTTGTGCTTTTGTAATAAGCATTTATAAACACATATAGTTGCCATTGTTGTGCCACCAAATCGCCTGCAAGTCATAGCAACCCTATGTTGAACAGTCCTAAACCCTGCTCTATCCTGAGCCAACCTTATTGTCTCTGACACACCTAACCCCATTCCCCCAGACATTGGAGTCATTCCATCTCATCCAGGTTCTTTCTCCCTTCTGCTGTCTCTCTACTCTTCTAGGCATGATGTCTCTCTCCAAGGATTGATCCCTTCTTGCAACATGCCCAAAGTAAAAAAAAAAAAAAAAAGCTGACCACTTAAAATGAGAACAATTTCTAGTGTTACAGAATGTGAAAAAACACAGTATAATAATTTGAATAATATTGAGTTAAGTGGTTTCATAGAGACATTCTAGGGCTCACAGAGTCCCAATGAGTCATCTTGATGGCACCTAACAACAACCGCAACATGGTTATAAGTTATGGTGAGTGATTATTTGAACTCATAATTATTCTTCTATAGGTTTGTACAATGTCATTCTTAGAAGGATTAAAATAAAACTATACACTTATTATACCAGTCATTATAGTCACTTGAGATGCAATTAAAACATAATCAAATGAAAACCAGACTTGTTCACTATAATATATTCAGGTTAGAACAACCCAGTAATCTAATTCAAAGTACTCTTATCATCAGATACAAAAATAAAAGGTCAGCCAAGATCTAAATTAGAGAGTGAACCATTAGTGAGCATGACTGACCATAGTATTTTGGAGCTGAAATAGACCTTCAATAGTCAAAGCCATTTTGTAAATAAATGAAGGTCTTTTTAAAGAAATATAGAGTTTGACCAATGGGATTAAATTGAGAACCCAGAAATAGGTCCACCTACCTACTGACAATTAATCTTTGACAAAGTAATGATGATCTATTAATGAGGAAAAAGATCTTTTCTAACAAATGGTTCTGGCAAAAACGGATGTCTGTTTGAAAAAAAAGAACAAACTAAAACCACAAAACACACACACAAAAAAGCCCAACCACCCAACTGAAAAAAGATCCACACCTCATATTATAATAAAAAAACTCAGAATGAAATCAAGGACCTCAGCTTAAAACCTGAAACTGTAAAGACCACCAGAGAAAAAACTGAGACAAATGTAGAATTCCTAATCTATGGTATAGATAGACTATCAAATATAACAGACAATAAGCTAGATAACCGGGCCTCCTAAAAGTAAATCCAGATGTTTATCAAAAGACTTCTCCAAAAGAGTAAAAAAGAGAATCTACAAACAGTTTTTTGGGAAAAAGTATTTGGCAATGACATCTCTGACAAGGGACTTAATCTCTAAAATTAATAGAAAATTCTACCACCTCAACAAGAAAGTGGCAGAAAATTCAACTACAAAATGTGAAGAAGACGTGAAGAGACACTTTACCAAAGAAAACATTTAGGTCAACAACCACATGAAGAAATGCTCAAGATTGTTAGGTCTTTGAGACACAGATCAAAACAATCATGAGGCATCATCTCATCTCAGCAAAAATACTGATGTTCAGAAAGACATCAAACAACAAATGCTGGCAAAGGTGCGGAGAGATTGAAACTCTCGTACGCTGGTGGTGGGAATGAAAAATGGTGCAACCATTATAGAAAGCAGTGCAGCACTTTTTTTAGAAGGTTAGAAATGGAAATACTATTTGATCTTACTATCTAATATGAGGTATATTTCCCAAATAAAAAAGGTCTGCACCACAAACTAACATACTTACATCCATGTTTATTGTTGTATTACTTATAATAGCAAAGAGGTGGAAACAACTCAAACGTTGATCAACAGGTTAATGGCAAAAGAAACTGTAGTACATTCATACAACAGCAGATTATGTATCACTTAAAAACCATCACCTCAAACAGATGTATGCACATCCATGTTTTGCTGCATTATTCACAATAGCAAAAAGATAGAAGCAAATGTAGTGCCCACCAATAAACAAATGGATAGAAAAACTATGGTACAGCCACACAATGGAATACTACACAGCACTGAAAAACAATGAAATAGTAAAATATTACACAACATGGAGGAGCTTTGAGGACATTATGCTAAGTGAAATATCTCAGTTACAAAAAGGATAAAAACTGCATAACACCACTGTTATAAAATAGGACAGATATGAGGGTGCTGGAGAGGGATTGGGGAGAGTAGATAGATAATGAACACTGCATTTGAACAGACGAAGAGAAGAACTCTTTGAAATGAATATGTGATTATGCATCATATGTCTGAGAATAATCTGGAACAAGAGGTGGGCTAGGGGAAGGGGAGAGAGAAAATGTGCAGTAACTAATAAATTTTAAAAATTAAAAATTAAGTGAATTAGAACTAAAAAAAATAAGAATTTGTGGAAAGTATTTAGATAGATAACATAAATAAAAACACAATATATTATGCTAAGTGACAAAAGGACAATTACAGTCCAAGATCATTAACATAAAATATCTTAAGGAAAGGTTTAAATCCAGAAAGAATCAACCTTGAAGGGTAAACAGAGATTAGAAGTAAGGCAAAGGAGAGGGGGAAAAAATTATTATGGAAAAAAAAATATAGTAAGAGTCAAGCTATGGCCATATAACTAGGTATAGAATCCAAATTCTTTGACCTGCCTGGCTACAAAATACTTTCTCTGCAATGCCTCAGTCAACAGGGAATAATACAACTTGCTGGCTCTTTTGTAATATAACTCTAAAACTTCTGCAATAATGATCTTATATTGTTGTTAATGTGCCACTGAGTCACCTGTCATAGCAACGCTATGTACACTAGCTCTGAAACCTGCCCTATCCTGAGGCAGTCAGTCCCATCATCTCCGACAGACCTAATCCCATTGTTTCAGTCACTGAGTCAATCCATCTCATCCTGGGTCTTCCTCTCTTGTGCTGTCCCTCCACCCTTCCAAGCATGACGTCCATTCCAATGATCTTATGTTATCTCTAAATACTGATGAATTCCATTTCTTTGGTGCCTGCTCCTCTCCTCCAAAGGAGGGATTCCAGAGCCATGAGGACAGTCACATATGTCACCAAAAACACTGACAAGTCAAACACAGTAAGAATTATTTGGAAAGTGAAAAGCCCAAAACTTCAACTACATCTTCTTTAAGAAGGGCATTCTCAATGACAGTGCAGCTTTGGAACTTATTTGTACTTAGCATAGCAAATTAAAGACATGAGGTCAGTGCTCCTGGTAAAGCAGCTGGTAAATCTATCAGATGGCTTACGTTGTTTGAGCTCTGTGGAGTGACCTTCTTCACTATAACCCCGAATGTGACCCAGTCCATTTCTTCTAGGGTCTCACTTGCCATCTTTTGCTTGATCTGAGACAATCTGATCAGTTTTCGGCCAACCATTTTCTTGTTCATTTCTGTGGAGGATACTCGAGGCCGCCTGGTGAAGAAACCAACAACGAGATCATTATGTTAAGAAACAGACACATGAAGAAATGCTCAAAATCCCTAGCTCTAAGAGAGATGCGAATTAAAACAACTATGAGATATCATCTCACCCCAG